CCCTGCATGACCCCCCCCGAGCCCCCCGCTCGCCTCCCTGGTGCTTCACGATATTTGATTATACCATTGTACGCAGCCATTACCGATAGCCGCCGCTCCTGCCTACATACCAGTTACTGACCGTGACTATGGATTTTGGGGTTTGTTTTTTTTTTGTTTTTTTTTTGTTTTGTTTCTTTTGTTTTGTTTCAGGGTTTGTTTTTTTTTTTTTTGGGTTTTTTTTTTGGTTGTTTTTCCCCCCCCCTCCCCTATGCAAAAAAGAGAAAAAGAGACAAAAAAGAAGAAAAAAACAAAAAACAGAAAACTGACACACAAAAAAAAAGATAAAAAAAAGAAAAGGAAAAAAAAAAAGACAAAAAAAAAAAATGTATAAAAATTAAACAAGCTATGCTTCAACTCCAGCCCGCCTCTGCCCTTCCTTCGCTGCCCCCGGGGGAAACTGAGGCACAGTGCCTGCCCTGGGGAGGAACCGGGTGTCCCCGCTGGTGGTGGGGGGGCAGGCACTGGGGTGTACTGGGGCATACTGGAGCAGAGCCGTGCTGGGCAATGGGTGCCCATCACCCCGGAGGGGGGGGCCCACCCATGGGTGCTCTAGGCCCGGATGAGGAGGGTGGGTGAGCCGGGGGCAGCAGCCCCCCGGGGGGTGACAGGGAGGTGGGAGCGGGGCAGGCGCGGAGGGGACACGCGGGGAACGGGGACACGGGTGGGTGCAGCCCTGGGCTCACGTGGGGATGCGTCGAGACCTTGGCCACGTGACGTCACCACCTCGTGCACGTGACATCATCGCCTCACCCGTGTGACGTCATCGGCCGAAGCTGCGCGTCACCCCCGCAGTCCCCATCGTCCCCGTCCCGATAGAGCTGCTCCGGATGCCCCCCCAGACTGTCCCCCGTCCCCCAGGATCCCGTCGGTCCCCCCCACGCCCCGGGACGTGGGGCAGGACGCCCAGAGGGGGTGTCGGGGGGCAGCGGCGCGGCCGGACACCGCCGCGCTGAAGTCGCTGAGGCCTGGCAGGTTGTCACATGCCAG